AACCTATTTTCAGTAGAATTACACAAGCAAATACCAGATTCTAAATTTTCACATGATCAATGAAAACTGAACACTGTACATTCTTTGTCTCTGTGCTCTTAAACAAAATCTGCATTTCAGGATTTTCCAGGATTATGTAATTACATTAAAAATATAATTAAAATTTTGTTATTTTTAACATTAAAAACTAATCCAGCTATATTACTTGCACTTCAAATCAAAGCTGGCAATGCAAAACAAAGCACCTAATTAACTGGTTTTGGACACTTATGAGAAACTATTTAATCATCTGAGCACTTTAAAACTGCTTCTGATGTGAGACATCCTTGGCTTTTAAAGGTTTTACTGCCTTCATTGCCTGTGCAATCGTCACTAGTACCATTTATGCAACCATTTTTGATTTTGACTAGAAGACACAATGAAAATGTCGTCTAATGAAATCTTAATGCAATCTACATCTTAGAAATATTCTCCCAAAAGGCTAATATCCAGAAATAAGCAGGTTTTAACATTGAATCTTTCTGTTTCCTAATGCTATTCTATTGTAAAAGAAATTGATCATTTAACCAGCATTTGTGAAGTTGAAACAACAAAAACTAAAATTACTAAAAAACCATCTGATTATTGGTCGTCAACATTCCGTACTAGAAAAAACACTAACTTAGTTGCTTCTTAGAGAGATAATACAGCTCTTTGGTCACGTATTTACATGCAATATACTAATCTGTTGACTATCCATCTTCTATGTTTTTAATTAAACAAGCACTTTATTGATTTACACAGTAAAAAATAACCACCCGCTGCTTATTTTGTACTGCCTTTTTAATGTAAACTCAATTTTGCTTTCATTCTGAATATCATTCCACTTCTCATGCCTACGTAAAACCATCTTTTCTTCACCTGTGCTTGCCTAAGTCATAACTCTTGCTCCTTTCTCCTCTTGTTATCATTGTATATAAAAAAATTTAGATTTTGTCTTCAGGTCTATATTGGGCCTATTACACAGACCCAATGCTGAAACAAAGTACACAGTTGTAGTCTTTAGACTCAGTCCCATGTGAAAAGTGAATGTGGGGCTATTCACATAAATGTTATTTTTATACTGTTTTGCTGAACTGTTACTGAGCCACAAATCCTCTTTTACATTAAACAAAAGCACAGCATTTATATAAAATTTCTGGGAAAACTTTGCATCCATGCAGGTGTCAAGTGATTCTAAGAGGAATGATGCAGAGACTTTCAAGAACTTCCTTGCTCTGTAACGTAATATTATTATAGGCATGTGACCTGAAATTGTCCTACCAGTGTACTGTCTTCCTGTTCCTCACAGAGCAGTGTGGGGAGGGATTACTTGCTGGAGAATTGGTATTAATATCATCCCGATGATGATTAAAATCATCAGGAAAAATGTAACTGGCCAGAAAAATCAAATCCTCCCCATGAGACTCAGAATAGTTGCAGTGGTCCCGAAGCAAACTGTAGTATAACAGACTCACATCTGCAAGTGACACAAGCTGTTACCAATCCACAGAAATCACATCACATGAAGCTGGCAATATGTGATAATAATCTTTTCTTTATTATTATGTCCCTCCCTAGTCAAACAGAGTTTAACATTTAATTTTTTGTAAACCAAAATTTCAAAGAATGTTTGACAGGCAATCATTTTGGCAGATGACTGAACAAGCACTTTGTCCAAACACTACTCTTCTGCACTAGGTCCCAGGTACAGTCTATGGTTCCTAGAAACCCCAGGAACAGAGTAGCCAGACAGAGAGGAATTCAATCAGATTTGAAGAGATTAAAGGACATCTAATGCAAAACGCACTAACTCAAAATATCATCGTAAGGAAACCTTAGACATTAAAAGAAAAGCTCTTTTAAATAAAAAAACCAACTTAAGTAGCAGAGTTAGTCATATTTATAGTGATTCAAAATAATTAACATATCACATACTGCGTAATACTTTCAATCAGGGCTTCTGACTACCTCCCCACCAGAGCATTTATCACTTTATAGTTCAACAGGAGTGTTCTAATTACACCCAATATAAAACACTTACTTTTTTATTGATATAATATGGATCCAGGTCTTCCAGGGGCTCAGACACCATTCCTGGAGGAATATCACCATAAATAAATGGCAGTGTCTTTCCTGCCTCCAAGTCATTACTTGGCTTTGGGTGATTTTCTTCATGACCACCATCATCCTTATGCTCGTCTTTGTCACAACGAGATGCTTCATCAGCAATACGTTTTTCAATAGCTGCAAGAGATTCTTTGGTGAAATAGAAGAAGCTGTCAGGTCCTGGCGGTACCAGCATTGCCTGTGCCATCTTTTCATTCTGCAAACTTTAAATGTTTTGAGGTTCTTGTGCAAGAAGATCCTAGGAAAACATGAGAAAAAAAGAAACAGAAAATAGATGGCAACAGCAACAAAAATCTCCAGATAAAAGCTTTTGGCACAGTCATCATCTGCCTCTTTTCTAATTCTAAAGCACAATAGCAAGAAGTATTTGAATTAATTGTCAAAACTTAATAGAAAACTAGTTACCCCAGCTTTCCTAAAGTAACAACGTGGCAAACAGATAGTAGTCATGAGTTAAAGAAAAAAATGAAAGGAAAAAAAAATAAAGATCAAATTTGCATACCATTTGTCAACTCAAGTTAATACAAAACTCACAACAAGAAAAAAGCAAAAACATTGCCTTCCCTAGCCTAAACATGAAGTTAAAACACATCTTATTGTGAAAAAGTAAGAATGGTGTTAACACAGCTATGCACTGCAGTCAACGGTTACAAGTTCTAACATACGGTTTTATACATCAAGTTGGCACAGTACCTCAAAAAACCCTGCAACTTGTACTACAAAAGTAGAAAAGAAACCATGCCCTTTCTATTACTCTTTTTGTTTCTGGTGGCAACACCACTCCATCTGGTGGCTTATACTATGCTTGCTAAACTCATGTTTGTATTATATTATCAGACAGGTACTACATAAACACATTCTACATTTAAAGCCAGAAAGGAATTCTGTATTAAAGCAGAAAGCAATTGGGCTGAAATTTAGTCTTTCCCTTTTTCGGTTTCCTGACTTGCATCTTCCTGATTTTTTAATTGTAACTTTGGTGGTGCTATGCTCCATAATTAAGGAAGTTATGACAGATGAAGTGTTTTACATTTATACAAAACCCACGACATACTCTCCCCAAAGTTACAGTACTCTGAGGCCATAATAAATATAAATTTAAATAATAAATTGATTAAATTACAACAAACAATAAGTTTTCAGTAGTTCACAGTGAGAGCACAGTTAACACCCATGGGCACAGTATCTTCAGAATAAACCAATTTTATGAACATAGACAAAATGGAGTCCAGTCCTGCTTGCTGACATCGGTAAGTAGCGTAGACTTTGTCAATACATTGTGGTGGGTTGACCTTGGCTGGCTGCCAGACTCCCAGCCAGACGCTCTCTCACTCCCGCTCCTCAAATGGAAGGCAGGTGGGGGAGAATAAAGTGAAAAAGCACATGCGTGAAGATAAAGACAGGGAGATTACTTACCAGTTACTGTCACGGGCAAAAGAGACTCGACTTGGGGAAAAATAATTTTTTGCCAATTAAAATAGATTTGGATGGTGACAAAGACAAAACCTAAAAGAACTTCCCCTCCTTACCCGTTTTTTCCAGGCTCCACTTCACTCCCTTATTCTCAACTCTTATACCTCCTCCCTCTCCAAGTGGCATGGGGAAGATGGAGAATGGGGGCCTGGGGTCAGACCACTGCAGTTCCTCCCTGCTGTTCCTTCCTCCTCACACTTTTCTCCTGCTCCAGCATAGGTGCATCCCACCAGCTGCAGGGCTTAGGATAAGACTGCTCTGACATGGGGTCTCCATATCCCACAGTTCCTTCACAGAATATCCACCTGCTCCAGTGCAGGTTGCAGCGTGGATATCTGCTCCAGCATGCTCCTCCATGGGCTGCAGGGAAATACCTGCTTCATGGGAATCTCTGCTCCAGGAACCTCTCTTCCCCCTCCTTTTTCACTGACTTTGGTGTTCCCATGGCTGCTTCTCACACTTTTTTCCTCATACTGACATGTGGCTTTTGGCCCTTTCTTGGAGGTGTTTTCCCACAGGTGTCACCAACTTGGCTGAGGAGCTCAGCTGTGCCCTGTGATGGGTGCGGTGGAGCCAGCTTAGAACTGTGTCCAGCACAGGACAGCCCCCCCCTCCCCCCCATCTCAC